TGAAGTCACCAAAATTTAATCTAAAAGTCACCAATTTAGTCAATTTCACGAAAAATAAATCCTGCTATACTGTTCTACAGTTTAAATGAAAATATTGACTGACCTTTCAATGGTTCCACATAATATGTTTCCTTAGTAGCATCAATCATCTGATGATCAAGATATACTGTACCAGGGTTCACTCCATTCTTGTAACGTAATCTCATTCTACACAATGAGTCACATGATAGTCACATGATGTACTTACTTGTCTAATTCAAGATCACAATCAATTCCTTGTACTTCTGCTTCTTCAATAATTTGTTTCTTAAATTCCCTCACTGGTGTACCCTTAGCAGCAATAAACTCCATCATATACTTACAAAACTAAAACATAAAAAATATAATATAAAATTATAATAATTAATATTCTTACGTCTGTATTGTTAACTTGTAATAAATATAATTTAATTCTTCTCTCTCTTTTTCCTAATGCTCTACCCAGTCTTACTGTCAACTAGGAGATAAACAAAGTAATAAAGAAATTGATGAGTTATTAGTACTTAGAGTTGATATACATGTAAGAGAAAAGAGAAATGAGTTAAATGACACAAAAATACTTTTGATCCAGATTTAATATCCCTTAATGTCTCATGAAGTCTCTTCATTTCATATTCTTCATTATTTCTGATTCCATACATTCTAAAACCAGCAGGTGGTACACCAATCAGTGGAGCTAGCTCCTTCTTCAATTGAACTAATTTTATTCTCTTATTAACTTGTACTTGTATTTCTGTATTGAATAACATAATATTTAATAATCTTTATAATATTATTACTTCTTTTATCTTCTTCTATTGATATAATTTTCATTATTGTTCCTCCTTCAGGTACATTAGTTGTACTGAGAGTGGCTTCAGGTTGAGGAGGAGGTAGTGTAATGTCCAATAGTATTATTGAGTTACAGAGAAAATCAACAACATATCTGTACATCAAACTATCTTTGTAATCCTCTAAAAAATCTATAGGATCTGATGATACATATATCTAAGAAGAAAGGAGAGAGCATGTGTGTGTATGAAAAAATACAGTAAGGAGGAGAAAAATATTAAAATAATGTATAGCATCTTCCTTTTGTTCGGCCAAACTAATTAACCTGACAAAAGAAACCCATAAGGAGAATGTAGAGCATAAAAGCATATACATGTACGTCATTATGGTTGCACTGGATCCATCAAATCAGGCATGCATGATTGTCCTGACTTGTTCCAATGCATTGCATGATTGATAGTTACTGTTGCAGTTTCTGGTTGACATACAGACAGAGTGTGTGAGTACCGGTAAATGTACACAAATAATAATTAGCACTCAAAGAATGTGGAGGCTTCGCCCCTGACCACGCCCCAACATACATACATACAGACAAACAAACAGTACTTCATGAGTAAGGGCTTTGCCCCAATTAGCACTTACTATTGGTACTACAAGTTGCTTTCTGTGTCGTTTTTGTGTATTAAATACGACTTTAAAGAGCACTTCCTTTAGACAGCTTTCAACATCTTCTAGATGTATGACTGAGCGAGCTTTATCAAGCATTAATAATCTCATACATGATGAATTGAGATTAAATAACTAAAGATCAGATTGAGAGAGGGTAGGAGAGGATGATCAATATAAAATGACAGTACTATCTTTCCTCTTACTTCTCCTATATATTGTTTCAATTCTCCAACAGTCCAACCTTCTTCACCTCTCACTGGTTTAGCTGGTCTTACTTTACCAGTTGAGAGATCAACTACTGATATCTTTAGGTTAATACCTACACCATCAAACACATGTATATGTAATTCGAGGAATTGTCATTAGAGGTAGGCCAAAGTACTCATTTATCCAATACCAGGCCTCCGATACCAAATACTCAATACCAATCCCTGTACCAAGTAGAGTAGTAACCACGCCCAATGGCCACACCTTTTTATAATTACAAAATTAACAGCTCATTTGCTTCATTTTTGGTAATTTAACTACCGTACATGTATGTCAGGATATATTCGCGGCTGCAATTATTTGCGGTCATTAAAAAATTGATTTAAAAACCATGGAAACTGTTAGAGCATTGCTATGACAATAAGACCATGTGTTTAGTGTTCAGCTATTCATCTGTTCTTTAGCAACTATAGTGGAGCCATTCACCAATAGCTAGACCTTCCCTATCTGTTAACTTCTTGTATGGACCTCTACCTCAGAGCTCTTTCAGCCTCTTTGCTGCAAATTGTAGCTGTTCCACGTGCTGGTGATAATAAACAACACCATGACTACACCCAAGTTAATAAAATAACATACACTAAGTAGAATGGGTGGAGAGTCCCAAGATATGGTGAGAAAGTAGTTCTGAAAAGAACAAGTAAAAGCAGCTCCAAAGAGCCCAAGGCTTAGTAACACAAGAAGAACAACAGCTCAAGAACACAGCGGCAAGGTGCTTTCCTTCAATATCGCACCATTTTCAATTAAAATAACACCTCGGTTTCCATGGTTTTTAATTAAATTTTTTTATGACCGCGAATAATTACAGAATGGCTAAGGCCGCGAAGCGGC